ATGCATCGGTTCGATGGATATGAATATATTCGATTTGGTCCAACAACAATTATATGTTATTTATTAAATAGGTACACAAAGCAATTTATATAACATTTTAAAATTTTAAAATATTGTATTTTTTAATAGATATGGTGGTTAATATAATTTTAGTTATTCTTTTTAGTTATTCTTTTCAATAAAAGAGAAAATTTTAAGGAACTAAAACTTAAAATACAAATTAAATATGCTTTAGGGGGCAAGTGTTACATAGAATATACTTTAGGGGTTAAAAGTGTATTTAACCCTAAATTTTATTTGATTTTATTTAAGTTTTTTTATTAGTTAAATAGATTTTAGGGTAAATTACACTCACACCCTTGAGGTATGCTTAAATAACTTTAAGGTCCTACTGATATCGATAATTACACTCACCCCTGAATAATAGTTAGAAATTCTAATGAGATAATGCATTGAATATGTTATTCTGATATAGTTCTAACGAACTATTATTTTTAGCTAGTGGTGGAGACAACATAGACTTATGGGGTTTGAGTGTAGTTGTAAGGGGTTGGAAACTATCAACTTGCAAAAGAATCTTCACAAACATCTCAAGCACTTGACCGTTTATAATATCGGATGCAACGTTGAAATCGACGCCCCATCTCTCGAAACAATCAGGATTATCGGCGGCAGTAAGGCTCGGTTTCACGGCCGTAAGTTCGGTAATCTCAAGTCTTTAACGCTACAAATGGTGGAAATCTTTAGTAATTCGATCCGACAATCTAAGCTATATATTGATGCTCCGATCGTAATTTATTTTAACTATTTGGGATACTTTATCCCATCCATCTCTTTTACACCAACTTCCGGGAGGTCGACTTTAGAACTGTACACTCGGGATGATGATGTACGTGATGCTCGGGCATGGTTCCTCAGAGGGCTTTACGTCGATCCAATATTTTTCTGAGTATTGTTCAACGGTCCACGACCAATGTGCACATTCAAGAAGACGGTCTACGTCAAGACATCGTCGATGGTGGTAATGGTATTAGACATGTTGCGGTGAAGCATTTGGAATTTGATATCGGTCATTTGTCTTCGTTTCCATCTGTTTTGAATGGCTTGTTTTATGTTTGTCGTCCGAG